AATTATTAGTCCTGGATTCTACCGTATGCTTTTCATTCTAATAAATCAGCGGGGTGTGTTCTTCGGAACTAGGCAACTCTCAGGAGCAATAATTAACACTTTATCTACGCTTGAAGCTTCTATCTTTTTGTAAGGGAAGAGATACTCCAGAGATACTTCAGAGAAGGGAGCATTCCGCAACACAATATGACTATCGGACCGATTTAGATTATCTCCTCCGGGGTCCTTTTCTCGCTTAGGAATGCTCAGGGTCTTTTGAGGGTGCGTAAAGTGTATTCTAGCGATTATCGTTAATATATTCTATTAATTTCACCCAGGATGGAGTATTGAACGGACCGAACAGCTCGCTTCGCCACCCTATCCTGCAAAAAAAGCATTATAGGAAGGGCATCACCCTAAGAGAAAGTGAGAATTGGAATGATGATTGTATTGCTATTGCGCCAAGTGTCCCAAAGGACGCTGAGAATTTGCTTAATTGTACATATAACCACTCCCCTGTTCCATAGCCAGTCCACCCACTCCCTATGATATACCCTTTTAAGCTTATTGAATAGTATAATCCATGTGGAAGTATTGTAGAGATTAGTAGGAGATGGCGATCCGAGCTGTCTAGTCCCTTATAATATAATTTCTATCTAGGCTAAGAGAAAGCTACATGAACTTTCTTATCTCTTCCCCGTGTATAATACCATGTTTCCAAATCAAATCTGCGGCCGAAAGCATCTTATAGATCTCTATATAAGAAAAGACGGGTTTGATTCAGGGGCTCGCTAAACACATTCTGGCGATGCGAGGACCGCGAAGGAGATAAGTCTTTATCTGGGCGAATTCTGTATCTCCGTATAGTAGGTTGTTGGTTCGCTAGCTTTGAGTAGATTTATTAATTTAAAGTGAGTTCTCTGTGTTTTAGGTTATACAAACAAGTCGTGTCCTCCCCTTTCCCTCTCTTCTTCCTGTTTGATAACCATGTCTAAAAGTATATCCTTATGTGTTTCGGTCCTAAAAGAACCTTCTTTTTTATATCATAAGAAAATACGTGCCGAACCATACCCTTGTGTTGGGGTTCGTTAGATGGCTAGACCTGGAGCACACAGGGTAAGAAACCTTGTAGCAGATTTAGCAAATTATAGATGTCCTTCGGGACTACTTAGCGCAGTAGAAATTACTGTCAATAACGCTACCTAAAATCTACTATCGAAGTAACTTTTTCTATGAATTTCTTGATTCTTGGACAATTTGTCCCCTTACGACTAGTACAGCATCTTGTTATATAAATTACCTCGGACCGTGCCCGAAGATTCTAGATAGACTTTCCTGGTTACGATTTCGTACTTGCTATAAGCCTCCTATTGTCCTAAGGTTCCTTATTTCCTCGTCATTAAATATGTGCATCTAACTTTTCAAGCTTGCGATTTCCTATTTGGGCTATTATTTCCGAACAGATATCTATAAGCGTATTAGAAAGACAAAAGTAAGGTTCGATTTATAGCGGTCCAGCTTAAGCCAGGTAGTCGGATCGGCTGGAATGATGCCTGGTTTCGACTCCTCCTATAATGCTTTACACTTTGGCTATAATGCTTTACAGCTGAACCCGTTTAGGAAGAAGGGGCTTTCCGCGACTCCTAGTGACTCAGCATTTCAACTTTAGCTATGTTTTGGGTGTGATTAGGAAACTTGTGTACATACCCCGCGGCATTTTAAGGTAACACAAGAAGCTATTCTCATCTACCCTCAATGTCGCACCCTCGCTTCTGTCGCACCCTCACTGTCGCACTCTTACTGTCGTGCCCTGACTATACGCCCTCGAACTCTTTTAATTCGCACAGAATGGGTTAGGGTTAGGGTTAGTGGAATATGAACCTCACCGTCGCGTTACGTCTTACCTAGGTGTGTACTTTGATAAGGCCACTTCGTGTTTTTTTAGCACTTTGTGACGCGGGTACCCACTTCCCTCATTTGGTTAGCTGTAAAGCATCATAGCCAAAGTGTAAAGCATTATAGGAGGACTCCTGGTTTCGCTATAGGCCTCGGGCCGACTTGTGACACACTACTTTAGTACTATTAACTTTAAAGTAAGAGCACGATTAACTACCGAGACTAAAAGTGGACACCATAAACTTGAATATACTTGTATCCCTTAGTCCGTAAATCACTCAGCACCCAGGCACTAGCAGGCTTGGTACGGGGCTTCAAGCGAGCCGTGGCGCCGCTATAAGGGGGTGGACAGTCAATGCTAGACACTGTCACGTAGATCATATGTGAGAAAAGTCTATACCTAGCAAATCTGAGTCTTTGATTGACTAGTTTAGCTAGAAATCGGGGCCGAGACGTACTACTTCGTCCCAGGCGAAATAAATGTAGGTTTTTCAGGGGGTTTAACCCTGTTCTCCACTAAAACCACCCTAGCAAACCTACATTTATTTCGCCTGGAACGAAGTATGATCAGCGATAGTGTCCAGCATTGACTGTCCCACCCCCTTTAATTAGGACGTGCCAAGTATTAAATCGTCTCGTCTTGTACGAGTAGTGATATTAGTTCTTAGTATAGAGGGCTTTTGACGACCTTTCTCTTCTTCTTCGATGCAGATGAATCTTTTTTCCTCTATTCTACAAGGGATATATCGAATATAAGAATGAATGTATAGATAGAAGTAGAAGTGGTGGTAGAAGTAGTAGTAGAAGTAATAGTATACTTATCCTTAGACAGGAATTACTGATTTCGTAGAATTGCTAAGCTAGCTAATCTTGGTTTAAGCTATACTAGTTCTTATAGAAGATCATAGATTTACAACGTTTTTAGGTATAGTTGAATATATAGCTATAACTTAAGGTGTAACTGCTATAGTGTAACCTGTGCGCGTTCGAGACCTGACGTTAGGGCTAAGCCTTGGCACTGAGTGATTTACTGACTAAGGGATACATACATATGCGATGACGAGGGGATACTAGGTTTAACCTATACCTGTATCGCATTAGAACCAACTTTACTTCATACCACAATTGGCTAGCTATCATTGCTTCTACTCTGGTCTACAGACGCGCTAGTCTATATAAACTTGAGCTCTGCCGCCAACAGAGAGGCAATTTGCTCACTTCGAACAAATCACCAAGCAAACCACTCCAAACAAAACACTCAAAGCGAAACACTACTTAACTCCAATACTCCCTTGCACTTAAACTCTCGTTCCCACTCACGAATTCCTAAACAAAAACCAACCAAGTTGTCGTTACTCGAGTACACACTCAAAGTCTCAAACCCAACGGCTCTGTATACTATCAAACTTCGTCAGCTTCGATTCAACAACCATTAGTCATCATGAGACTCTCCGCTATAATCGTCCTAGGCATTGTCGCGTTAGTTAATGCAGACGACCCCCCAGTCACGCAGTACTGCAATGCAGGGACGCCCGGAGATGGAGGTTGCGAAGCAAATGGCCTATGTACTTACTGCTGCTATACCAAAGATGGCAAGCCAGGTTACACCACTCCACGAGCGACCACCACCATGTCTAAAAGTCCTGGTGAAAATGGTAGCATGGTATGTAACAAAGACGATTACTTGGATGTGGGCAAGGGAATTGTATTCTGCGCTCCCTGCAAGTAGATGGCAAGGATGTGCTTTGATTACTTGGGATTTGAAAGAGCGCTGCGGGACATTTTTGTGTACACCCATTTAATAAAATCAATGTCAGCCATTTTCAGGATTAGAATAAAATGTTGAAATAGTCATGTAGCGCTTGAGAGGTGGGAGTCCGACTTTCTTTGCTGCAAATTGGTACTTATAGTACTGTAACCCTGCTTTTGTTTCGTTGGTACTGGGCTTAATCTGTTATCTGCCTTGTATCGGGACCTACTTTACTTCATACCAGAGTTAGCTAGCTTTCCTTGGTTATTGATTTGGGTAGCCGTACATATAGCATAGCAAGTTAATAGGGTTATAACGCATCGGAGGTCTTGCCACTTGCTTATACCCTTATTTACAGGTGTGCCAGTCTATATAATTCCCAGGTCTCCCGCCTACAAATGGGCAGGCTGGACTTGTACACTCCAAACAAAACACCCAAAGCAAGCCACTACTACTTGGCTCTCAATACTTGCTATCGACTACTTATTCACATCTAACAATCCACTCTCACGTACCGTAAGAGCTCATACCAGCATTTAAAGAAAGCCAACTTATCCTCATTAGATTTTATCAAGTTAAAGTCGTCAGCAAGCAGTCATCATGAGACCGTCATTTTCGTCTTAAGCCTTGCTACGTCAATCATTGCAAAAAAGGAGAAGCCACCCGACTACTGCAATTCCGGGACGCCCAGTGATAGAGGCTGCAAAGCAAATGGACTATGTGCTTTCTGCTGCTTCGTCGATTCCAAACCAGGGTACGACATCCCAAGATATACCACCACTTTGTCTAGGGGCCCTAATGGCGACATCTACTGCACCCTTGAGCAGCCCGACGATACCAGGGGAACGGTTATGTGTGCTCCCTGTGATAATAAATAGACTAAAGACAAGTGGTCTTTTGTCGTATTAGATGTCAAAGATGGTCGAAGGATCAGACTTGGAACAATACATATGGTTATTACTGTAACTAAGCAGATTCCGACTCCTGGGCGTCCTTTGGGACAATGGATGGCGCGGTGGATACAAATGACACTACATTCACAGAAATTCTTCTAGTATAAGATCAGGGTTTTTAGGGGTTGAAAGCGCGCTATCAAATCTTACGTATATCACCCAATGCAATCAATGTCGGAACAGGAATACTCGAGTACAAACTTGAAATGATCATGTGACCATTGGACGCTAAGAACCCCTGGGCGAGCTGTTGAGAGCGGAGTGGTTTTGATATCACGTGGTGTGAGGGGTAGAGAAGGTCGAGTTGCCCAAATGTTTTCCATGTCCCAATTAGGAGATTCTATCCCTAGACACTCTGTGGGGGCGCGGTTATCGCAACGTTGAGCTTGCTGTCGATTAATACTCGTAAATCTATTTGCGGAGAGCGTTAAGCCCTACTTGATGACACCCAATAGCTTTGATGATAGTATGCCTCAAAGGCAGGCTTTATTACCCTTATGTGCGGAGTTGTTAATACTATCCGTTCACGAGTATCTATTGCTACCCAATTGGTTTGACAGCTTGATAGAGCTTAGTCAAGTACTAGTTACACAGGATTTGAATGCCCCAATTGAGAGGAACAGATACCGGCTTTCCCTTTCAATGACCGAGCCCAACTCCCGAGTTATTTCCTAGCAGCGGTACATACGGTACAGCACAAATTCTGGCTAGCTCTCTGGTCCGCTCTCTCCACCACTCTTGTACAGCAACGCCTCCTTCAGGATAGGCTTTCACAACATCCCCCCTTTACCCAAACGAGCAATGTAGTCCCTCCCAACCGAGGGGTTATGCTGCAACGTGGGGCACCAAGGGGACTCGTAGCAATGGTATAAGAGACGGCACAACAAACAGAGGGAAGCTATCCAGAACAACAAGCCGTACCTCCAAGCCCATCCACTAGATAAAAAACTCAGGTACGCATTCAACCATGACATATATACCGCCTCCCTTCCCCCTCCTAACCCGTCCATCATTATCTCTCAACTATTTTCAGAACTAACCATGGGTTCCATTTTCAGCAAATCCTTGTCGGAGAAAGCCAACATGTCCTTCACACACTACTCCAACGCACAAGCCTCCTTCAAACCACCTCTAATAGCAAACGAAAACGCCTTCTTGGGCGATATCTCGACATCTGAAAAGAATGACCCCAAAGCCCCCATTTCTGCTGGGTTCTATAGACTCGAGAAGGGAACCCCGTTGGTCTATGAGTACACGTACCACGAGATGAAGATTATTGTCGACGGGGAGTTTGATATCTCGGACGAGACGGGGCAGAAAGTTCATGCTGTTAAGGGGGATGTGTTTTATTGTAAGTTGTCCATGTACTTGGATGGTGGGGAGTGAAGAGGGCTAATAAGGTGACGTAGTCCCCAAGGGAAGCAAGATCACATTTACCACCGAGACTTTCGGGTTGGGATTTTTCGTTGGGCAGAGAAAGGTTCGTTCTCTCCAGTCAATGGTTACGGGTCGCTCGCTAATTAATATATAGGAGGGTGGTGCATAAGATATATAATATGGTTTGGTTTGGTTAGACATGGAATCATCATGGCGTTATAATTAGGAACCAAGAAGAAATTTTACCATTTATATATCAACTATTGATTGATTGACTGCACATTTTCCGGTTGCTTTCTATTACTTTACCGAGAGTCCTTTTGCGAAACTCTGATTTGTTCGTGTCTCGAGTAAATTACTTTGCCTTGCCCAATATTTCTTGTTTTGAGCACAAACATTCTTAATATTCTTTACTTTCTCTCGCTTTTTGCAGATTTCCACATGAGATTGTAGGTGTGGCGTAAAAATTGTTGAAAGTAAACCCTTGAAAGATTTCTGTTCTTCACTATTACAATACTTTCTCTTATAGCCTTCGCGAATACCCAAAACCCTCTCAGAGCCTCAGTGATTCAAAGATATACTAAGGAAGAGAACTAATCAAGTGTAGTAGGTTTAGTGTATGCTAACATAGTCTACTACTAGGTACATATAGTTAAGTAATTACCCCAATTGTCCTACACTTCCTGTTAGTCCGCCAGACTAAAACAACTATTTTACAAGTTTTAATATATTCCAAGAGAATTCCGAAAATTACACCCTTTCGAATAGAATGTTCTAACCATCCTACTACATGGAATAGAACATTTCATAGAGAATTCTGAGAATAGAATAACATTCCAGATGCCGAACGCTTTTGCTATCTTCGCAGGAACGGAGGGGACTACAACAAAATAATCTAATGTAATTAGAATTGGTCCTTTTGTATTAATCTCTACATCTCTTCTAAGTTAATATCCACGATAGGGTTGTTCGTTTAGATCTAATTCAAAAAAATTAGAAATAATTAGTAAATTAGGCGTTTAGATGAGTTTTAATTAGATCCTAATTATATGCGTCACATGACTATAAACGTGACCTTGAAGCGGAAAGTCCTATAATCCGGCGGCGCTATTATAACCCTGATTCTACTCTATTATATAATATCTCTTGACTTCTATAGTATTTAGTATTATTTGAAATTTAAACGACTAGCGAGAGGTTAAGAAAATATCTACCTAAGGGCATGTTTGGCTACGTATATCTCTCTATTCAAATTAAGGGCAAAAGTCAAAGATTTACACGGGCTAGGTAATATGATAGGCAGATCTGGAGGCTGTTTCGAAGACGTAATGGCGTTATTTTGGGAATTTTTAAGCGCAAGCGCTCTCAAGAGTCGCAATGTTTTTATCGAAGGCTCCCAGATGAACGGTAGCCCGCCAACGACGGCCTTTCAGACGAAGCTCTTCGATCTCTTCACCAAGCGCTTTATTCTAGCCATCCACAGCCTGTTCGCTGTGAAGGCTACAGAAAATCCGCTCTATGACTACCGTAGAAGAGTGTGCACTTAAACATACTTCCCTATTCTGTCTTCTCATCTTACTCTGGCGATCATTATTTCAGACTACATAGCGGTGGCCTCTTCCGAGCAATTTACCAACAATTTGCACTTTATTCATGTAGAGAAGTCTGATATTATTTAGGTTTTTTAGTTGGCTTGACCGAGTTAGTAAAACGAGACGAGACTACATGAACCATCACAAGTTACTTCCATCTAGCGAGGTTGGGAATCAGAGTGGGAGACAAGAACATGAAATGCTATGTCTTAGTATCATGTTTACTGGCTCAAGAAAATGCAATACAAGGGGTCGTTGACGTCGACCCATGTTTGTCAAGAATCCTGCAAAATAGCCTATGAAAGCAGTCGATTTTCTTTTCAGTATTCATTTTTGAAGTCATCAGGAGTCCTCGATTAACGTGAAACACAAACATTGGCGAAAAGCTGGACTGGTCTCAATGAGATGGGTTGATAGATCATAGGGCATTGAGTAAGAGCCCTCAATCTGACTCAAACTTGAGTTCAGGTCTCCTACAATAAGCTCCCTTCGGACTACCTTCTAGTTAAACGAAAGGTCAAATATTATAAGTTTCTGGACCTCTCTTTCAGCCTGATCTTGAGCTTGGGCTGATAATTTGCTCGCGAGAACTGGAGTGCTTGACGAGGCCCCTAATCATAGCGATCGACTGTCGCGAAATATTCTAGAAGGATAATCTGGGGAATGGATGTAGAAGAATTTGAAGAAAGAATAGCGAGTTTGTGCCTTGATATTGGTTTGAGCATGGCTTGGTTCAGTTGTAAGGAGGGTACTGTAGTTTCTTTTGATATAAGATTAACGGAATATACCACCTGTTTAGTATGTATTTCCACGCCATATCGTCCAAAACATGCTTCGTGGATTAGGGTTGTGCAATCTAAATTTAGGTAAATTATATCTAATTAAAAAACCCCTAAACTAGCCTAAATTAAGATTTGACCTCTAAACTTAGATCTTGGCATATATAAATGTAGTAGTATAATAAGTATAAGTTATATAAAAAGATTTTTATATATATGTTTTTATATAAGATATATATATATATATTTAGATATGTAAGGTTGTTTAGAAAGTCATATAAGTTTTTTACTAAATTAGTTATAAATCCGTCGTAAATCTGAATATAATAGTTTTTAGATTTACACTACTAAAATAAGAATATAAAAGAATAGAAGCCTCTACCTTGTACTTCTTTTACTTTTGTATAAATCTCCGTGTAATTCTTTTAGTCCTACGTCCTACTATAGTTCTAAAACCTAGTTAGATCTACCTAGCTCGCTTAGAACTACCTCGATAAACAACCCGAAATACTACCTTAATATACTTTACTACGAGTCTAATCTACGTACTTTATTAAAGAGACGTTGATTACGCGATAAAAAGAAGAGAATCGGCTGTTTTATTACTATACTAGAAGTGTAGGCCTCGGCTAATTATTTCTTATAAAACTACGTTAAAACTCTATAATATACTTTGAAACCTAGGGGGGACGAATAGATGGTGGATTTAATCGAAGGATACCTAAAACGTATAAAAGATAGTCTCTATATTAAATCGTAGTGTAGTACTAAAATTTCGTAGTTTAGACGAATCCTATAAAAATTAATAGATATATAACAAAACAATTTTTTTTTTACACTAGCTAAACGGTAGTATATTTGTTTCGTTACAATAGTCTAATTTATATATAAATTAGGAAACTTTTACATACGTCCTTAGGGTCCTCTCGAAATTACGAGTCTTTTCGAACCTCCTGCTTCTTCTTCGCCAATTCCCACACCCATGAGGACTCTCTATTCCTAGCGGCACCAAAGAGAAGAAGATCAATGAAAAGGATCTCAGCCTAGAAGATGAATGGAATATAATGGCCGTAGTTGAGTATGCCACTATTCATCAAACTTAAGGAGGATGCTAGGGTGGGCGTGTAGAGTACGCAACAGTGGCAGCTAGAGTAAAGGAGAGGCTTCTACTCGGTAAATCCTGCAAGTCCTTCCTCTCATACGCACCATACGTAGAAGATTACGATAAGCGAGGGACCCGTAGAAAGCTGTTCTCTTAGTGGCCTAACAAGCAGTTTTAGTACTCCACTCACCTACCCCAGCATTCTTCTTAAGTTCGATTTACAACGGTATTTGGCGGCAAATGATCTTGAAATAATATTCACCTTTATCCATACAACTCCTAGATTCCTGAATACCGGAACGCCGGGGACTTCTTATCCATCAAAGAAAAATGACTACATTTGATGGGCTTCCATATCACTAATGCCAATACCTTAGTATCGGGTTAGATCATTATTCATTTAGGCATGAATTACTCACCGAAAATCCTAATCAGTTCGTAAATAGATACTTCTTCACGCTCCCCCTTTAGAGAAACGGTAAACTCGCTTTATAATCTACACATAAACCGTTGTCAGGAAATCTGGGCGGAAAACTCTTCAATTGACTAAGTGCTAAGAGACCCTGACTATTTATGCTAGGAGTTGGCCACGCTAGTCCGCATTAAGCGGAGCTAGCAAGTTGGCATGTGACTGACACAGAGATATAGTGAATCACTCGTAACCTATTCACTATTTCCAACATGAACTAGAGCACTAGCGAGTTGAGTAGAGATGGACTTCCTACCATAGTAAGGCGTCGTCTCCGGTTCCATCCAATCTCCTTCCTATCCCTCTATCAAAAACAAAAAAAGAACCTCCCCGAAGCATACAAACAGATCTAACTAATACTTTTCTAGCCAGATCACCCTACCTCCGTAATGTTGAAAAAGTGTATCAGTAACCAGAAGACGAAGAAAAGGGGCGATTTCTCGCCAGCCATATCCTCCTAAATATTGATCGAACTTCCCACATCACCCCCTTCAAAACCAAAACCAAACCAAAAAAAAATCATCCCACCCCACCCAAAAAATAATACATGAGGTAAGTATGCGAGGTATTGAACCACACCCGATTTGAACGGATAACCTTCCGCTCTGGAGGCGGACGCGCTGCCGTTGCGCCAGCAGTCCCTCTCTTATGGTTTCCTTTTCCATGATACTCTACGAGTGGAGTGTCATGATTGGATAATAACAATATTCTTATTAGCGTTTATTATTGTGTGCGGACCTGTGTGTGTGGTGGGGGGATGTGGGGATTGGGCTTGGTTCGGCTGGAGGTCCGGGATGGGTGGAATTGGATGGATGGATGTGGGAGGAAGATAGGCGTGGGATAACTGTGATTGGTCGAGGGAAAAGGTCTGCTGGGAACTAACGGGTTTCTTTCCGGCGTTGCCGGGTGTGGGGAAGCGTAACGTGATCGGATCGTGATGTTATTATATAAAGAACTTTCTAGCAGAAGAGAACTCTCTAACTTTCTCCTGAACTCGGAAAACCCATCTTCTCGCTTGATCTCTAAATCCCCCGCCATCAAATCTTTCCCTAATATATCAGAAAAGAAAAGGGATAGAGGAGCCGCGAGGGAAAAAACGGGAAAAGACCTCAAACATTTCATACAGAACGTAATACTACGTCCCAGCCACATCTCGGCTCGATGAAGATCAATACTATAAATATATAATCTCGGAAAGATTCAAGTCCGGATTGTCGATTAAATGAGGTAAATAATATATATATACCCATAAAAACCCAGGAGAAGAATATTGAACCCTCTTTTCGAGAAGTCTGAGGATTTGGCTCAAAGGGGGGAATTCATTCGCTTGCTTGCTTGCATCTCATTCATCTATTCATCCTCCATCCATCCATCCCGTCCCAATCCATCCATCCATTCATTCATCCCACCAGCCATTCATTTCATCCCCACCCTATCGAGAAAGAAAGAAATGGAAAGGGAAAAAAATCTAGACTACTACACCAACTACTAATCCACACTACGCAGTCAATAACAAATGATCTTCTGATCACATCGTTCGAGTCCACCCTTACAGAACCCAACGAACATTTTCCTCCACCATCTCATCACCTGCCTGCCTCATGCTTTTCGTATACACCCAACTCACGTCCTCGATATATCCTCCACCTTTGCTCGAGAAAATAGCAAAAAAACAAGTGACCAAGCAGCGAAATATCAACAACCTAAAAAAGGAATTTCCGAAAAAACAACACAAGGCACAGAAGAGAGAAAACTTGGTCAAGTGCCCCCTTTCGGCTTCGGAGAGGATCACCCAACATGAGAAAAGAAAGGATTAACGCCAAATCCATGCACACAACGCACGCTTGGGCAACCAAGAGATATAATGAACCCCGCTCCGAATGTGTTTGTTGTTTTGTGATTTTTGCTTTTCTTTATTTCCTTCTTCTATGCCTCATGTCGCGCCATTGACTACGACCCCTGGAACATTAGCTGCCAACGCGGCTTGTTGAGCAGCTAATACATCGGCCTGTTGAACCACGCCTTGAACGATTTGCTGTTCTTCGGCGCTAAGGTTGCCTGTCAGGGAGGTATATAATTGAGGTTGTTCTGCTTGGAGTTCTAATAAAATTAGTTATATTCACTAAGGGTATATGAGAACTTACTCATGAGAGCTGCTCTGAAAAGCCCATATGGTTCTATCTTATCCAGTGGGGTTTCAAGAAGGCTTTCTTCACCAAGTTCCTCATCGGAATCTGGGTCATCAAGATTCTGGAATTTTTGTGCCTAAGAACTCCATGTCAGTGCAACGTTTCCCAAATGGGTTTGATATTTCGCACCTCCTCGTTCAAGAATTCAAGATAGGCTGTGCTTTCATCCTTGGCGTCTTCTGATTCCTCATTCCCCTCATCCTCATTCCATGCATTGTCGTCGCCGGCCCACAACTCCTCCTCGTCATCATCGTATGCTGATCCATCAACCGGATAATCATCCTTGAGAATCTCATCACGTTTCTTCTGGGCGGCCGGAAGAGTTTGAAACAATCGAACAAGCCCTTGTAATAATCGTGGCCATCCGGTTTGTACGCTAACTGGAACCTGGTCGGCGTTAAGGGTGAGGAGAGCAACAATTGCAGAAATGGAGAGCTTTTTGTCGTGAACTCTGGTGAAACTGTCAATGCTTGAAAACCACAGGCTGAAAAACTTGTTGGTCCATTGGTTCGCCTCGAGAACTTGAAGAGCGAGTACCTGTTGCTTGTTAATGAAATGCCGTTACAAATTAGAAGTTTCCCATACCGGATTGTAGTAAATGGCATTGATGACCATTTCCATAAGATGGATTCTGTAGGACTTGACTTTAGTCTCGGTGTTGGTAAGTGTGCGCATTGCCATCCCAATCTAGCAATTATCAGTAACCTCATAATAAAAACGCAAAATCAAATCTTACGAATTCTACGACGTATGTATCAGCGTCACCTCTAAGGCTCAACATGATACCTTCGGCCAATTTGCAAGCACAAATGCGGTCAACTCCTCCCACCTTCGGGTCCGCGAACATGTCATGGACCATACTGAACATGGCGTCGAGGTAGGCTGGCGTTTCGGCAAGATGTGCGCGACCATATTGAACAAAGTTGTCGAGTGCGGGAAGCATGTCCTCGAGGTAGAGTTCTGCGCCTGCCTTGAATGTAGCGTGAATGAGCTCAAAAGCTTGCCACATGGTTCCAGAGATGGACTTGGCAGCAAAAGTACAGCTATCAATGATCTCAAAAACCTCGTTGTACAAATCTAATGTTGTTAGCAAACAATTCAAAACTTGCAGTTTTCTCTCATACCATATAACTTGTTCTCAAGAGTAATACTGATAACTGGCATCAAAATGGACTCCATGTGCAAAAGGACGTCAGGGGTGCTCTCCAAGGTCAGGATGAGAGTGCCAATTGTCTGAAGTACACCAAGAGCCGTAATACTCTTGTCGTCGAGGTAGTCGCCGTAGCTCTCTTCGTCATCTCGCTTCTCGTTCTTCTCCAATAGTTCTCTGACAATTCGGAGGTATGTGTCACGCAGCTGTTCGCTCAATGCAACTGCAAATGGAGTAAGCTCGGCAGCGAAAACCTCAACGAAATCTTCCATGACATTTGATAGAGCATCCACATCAACCTCATTAGCGAGTTTCAAGAGTTGTTGCATGATTTGAGGAATTTGTGATTGCATGCTCGTGCGGATGATGTCGTGTCTGATCAAAGGTTGAAGTGCAAGAGCGGCCTCGACCCGAACTGGGAGTTCTGCGTCGGCCATACAGTCCAGAATATTTCGGTAAATGACTAAAAGGTTGTTTGGGTCCTTGAAATCCAATTGCTCGAACTTCTCCACTGTATCACAAGCTCGCGCACGCAAGAATCCTTGAGGACTGCTGAAATCTGGAAAGACATATCTGACGAGGAAGTATTCTACTTGCTCCGCAATTGGCGACTTCTTTCCAAGAATCACACTCGATAATGTGCCAATCATTCTCAAAGCACCCTCCTTTGCAACATGGTTCTTCTTGCTATCTTCAGCGGCTTCGTATTCATTGACAATAGTGTTAACGAAAGCCAAAATTGTGAACGTGTTCTTTCTTCGGACCTTGGTGAGGGTGACCAAGAAATTCGTTGCAGCAACATCAGGAGCCGAGACTTCCTCGTAGTAATTCAATTTGTGGTGAAGGTACTCCTCTGGGTCGGTATCGAACTTTTCGACGTCATCAGGCGAAAGACACATAACAGGAAAGAGGAAATGCGTAACGAGGGTATCGAGGTGTGGTTTTAGATGATTCCACATCTCTTTAGGCCGCACACACTCGTCGAGGAAAACGAGGGTATATGAAAGACATGGTCTGCTGAGCCAGGTTGTCTTAGCCACCCATCCTTCAATCTGTTGGAGGTAGCCCTTCAGAATCTCCGGTGCGAATTGAGCGATGAAAGTTTTTGCGAATTCGGTATAATCCTCCCCATTTCCTTTCTGTAGTGATGACGGGTTTCCGTAACTACTCTGTTTAGCATGAGAGAAACAATACTCATCAACCCAACGTACCGAACAAAAAGCCTATTAAGATTGAAGTAAGCCCACTTCTTGGACTTCCACCAGTGGTTGGCCTCACGTTCTACAAAATCGTCTGGTAGAGCTGAGGCTGGTACTGCCTTTGCGACCGTCTGAAGAAATAGAGTACACCAGCCAATTACCACAGGCTGATCTCTCAAAGAAAGAGCCAATTCAAACTAAAACTGTCAGCACTTGGATAGACTCGCCAACCTCGTCAGACTCACAAATGTTGCATGCTTGTACGCCTTCAACACAATATGCAGCATTTCCCCTGCCTCCTCACTTGTCTCGTTCACCAAGCCTTGCCCAATGGCCAGAAGTCTTGGGAAGGTTGCGTCCACAATCTTATCAAAATCGGCTCGGGTCTCCCCTGATTTGAATCTGAAGACTCGGCAGAGCGCGAGCAGGCACTGGAGACCGGCAAAAATCGAGGCAGCATCGTTCGTGTTGAGGAGTTGAAGAGTGATGTCGATGAAGGCAGGCCATCTCTCGGGGAAATCGTAGTGGAGGATCTTTTGTAGGACTGGGACCAGTTGTTGTCGAACTTTGGGAGGGGATGCGGACAGGACAGGCAGCAGGCGGTCTCTAAAGCGAGCCTTCTCCTCCTCTGCTATAGGTTTATGCGATGGAAAGTCCTCGTTGGTTCCCCATCCTCTCGTGACACGGTTCTTGAGATAGACGGCAGCTATTGTGTGTTAGTCTTGGCGGAGGGGTGTGAAATTGTGCGGTGGATATGCGTACTCGATTGTTGGACTGCGAGATCCGTCTCGCTCTGCAGAATATTCAAGAGCGCATCGGTGAACCCGGGATGGTCTTCGGCCTGCGATGGAGAGATCAGTAGAGGTCCTCGCTGGCAGTGACCGTGGCGGCTCGTCTTGGAAGACTCGGTGATGCGAGTGGGAGTGGGAGTGGGCTCATGGTGGAAACTAAATGGCTTACCGTCTTCAACTCGAGTTCAGCGCGGCGTCGAACGTCGGTGGTGGCATCGAGTGTCGCAACGATGCGTTCACGAAGCGCAGCACCATCCATTGCGACAAGATGATTGTGCCGATGTGGGCGGTCTGGTAGGGGAAGGTGGGCAGGAATGCGACCAGAGGGTGGTGGTTTTGCGGGTGAGGGTGCTGGTTGTTGTGATATTTGTGGATGATCTTTTCGCCTAGCGCCGTGCAGAAAAGGCTGTTGGCAGACACCGCCTGGGCTGCTGCTGCTGCTGCCACTGCCACCACACTGCCAGTCCTCAAGTACTCCGTCGCTCACCCTCACCCTCACCCTCACCCTCACCCTCACCCTCACCCTCACCCTCACTTTTTGGTGCAACAACACATGCAGACCACACGTGAATGCGCTTACGCTTACGATGGTACTCTAGAAGGCTGCAGAGTCGGCAGAGTCGCAGGAATAGTCTCAGTGCAGCATCTTGGATTCGGGCCACTGCAGCCGTGGGTTGAGACGCCGTTGTGGTGCTGACTGAGAATCAGGTACTGGTACTCGTACTGGTACTGATACTGGCACCGACTGGCAGAGGCCTGAGTTCAGGGGAAGTGCATCTATTGTGGCCCTGCGCTGGCTGCTAAATTTACGACGCGGAAGGGAAGCAAGCGCTGCTCTCTACACAAACAGTCTATCTGATGATGGTCTCGGAAAAATCTGTGGGCTTTAAATCGGTGGGCTTGGGGTGGGTGTGTGGAATCTCCCACGCCGCAAGCAGTTGGGAGGGGTCGCTTGCAGCTTTTGATACCTCACACAAGAGAATGACGCTTTTACAGCACTGGACAGCTGTTTCACCCATCATCCAATATCCAGCAGGAGCCAGGGAAATCCGCAATGTACTCACGAAATAACCCATATCACAACCCACCAACAATCCTCCCTCGCCAACCGCCTATCCAGCATTAAACAGGGCGGACATACTGCAAAAAACAAAAAAGTTTCCATCTCGAAGCCCCGAGGACCGGTTCTGCAGCCAACCAGACCTCGACGCCATCCGGCATTTTGTGCGCTACAAAGTGCAAAGAACCCTGGAAGTGACCTGCTAAATACCCCTCCCACAGAAAAAAAAAGAAGACAACAACCCCGCGATGGTCACGTGTGATAGGAAGAATGGATCCATCATTGGAAAACCCCCCACTTGGTGACGATAGCAAAGCTTGAGCGCCATGATTTGCTGAAATTTCTGCACCATTCCTGCAGGTGGATCTGGAGAGTTCCGCGAGTCAAGGTTCAGCGAGGAAGGGGGATGGAAGAAGTGTATTTGTGCCCCAAAAGTCCGCTGAGAATTGACTTGCGCATAAGGAAAAGAAAAGATCTTGTGGATCCTTGCAAGTGCAGGATAGGATTAGGGTTCTTCATTAGCAGAATCTTCCAGCAAGCATTTTTATACGAACTGCACTCTCGTTATCCCCGACGAATCAACAAATATCTGGTTTAGACAAGACTCGTTAACCCTCTCTAGCCTCTCAAGATGCAGCACCACTGACAGGACCCTGCTGGTGCTGGATTAGATCTCGCTTTTGGCGCTAGCCTATTTATGGCAGAAGGTTTTGAGACTTCCGCTATTCAGTGACGTAAAAAGATATGTGTATTAATTAATGTGATATTATTTGGCAGCCTTTGGCATTCCTATTGCTTTACTAATAGAGAGGGTTCTTTGGTCTTGGTGCTTAGATACTAGAAGATTATTTGTTCTACATGAGATTCTTGTTATCGTGAATACTCTTTTTATATAAAGGTCTTGAAGGGGTATTACTACTGTTATTATTTGTTATTTGTTATTTGTCTATTTTATATATAGTCTTACCAAAATTGTGGATGAAAATCATTTCATTATTTACCATCTTTTTCTTTCATTAATGTTTTCTTTCTCATACTTAGTCCCTATTAAGTGAGGGTAGTTAAACAGCTATCGATTTAAAATTGAAGCCTACTTTTACTAAAAGATTATAGAATAACTTACCGCCTTTCGCTTATTAATTAATGAATTTATAAACCTTTATTGCATTTTAATTATCTTTTCCTAGTCTTAAAATCGATAGATTTATCGGAGGGGTTTTATTATTGTTATTTTTAGATAGGTATTGCTTAAGCGAAAGTATAGATGCTTATACGGCGGGTAATTATATTCTTAGGACCTCTTTAGTCTTTGATATAGTACTCTAATCATCTAATAGCAATCTCAAAATAAACCCACGTAGAATCCTACGCCCCTAAATACTGAAAATCCTTACCCCCCATCAACCCTCCCAAAACAAAACAAATACCCACCAACCTCACCACCAGCAAGTCAACAACCTCTCAACCCCCATAACATCCCTCTCCATACCCATCCAGCATAAGACTGCCCCCAACCCCCTCATTGCGTTTCAACCGGCGGCAGCGGACTAATCGGACAAGGAAGATACAATCCTATCGAAGAAGTCTTACACCCACTCCCACACGTCGTCTGACAGCTCGTCGTTCTAGCAATTCCCGGACAAGAACATGGAACTACAACTTCGCTAGTGACCGTACAGCTAGGAGGACTGACGCAAGAAAGTGTTGGACAAGAAGGACCTTCGGTGAAGGTGAGTGTTGGACAGCTGCTCACGGAGGGGGTAATGGTAGGTCTTGCGACCGTGGAGGTTGTTGGCGTTGGAGGTGTGATGGGAGTTTTTCCTGGGATGGAGATGGTAGAGAGGGTCGTTGGCGTCAGAGTCTCTATAGCAGTCGGTGTCTCGGATGTTTTTATCGTTGGACAAATCAGATTCGTTGCGTATGCTGTTGGACAGCCTGCAATACAACCACAGGAAGACTGGAAGACGGTTGATTCACTGATTGTCGAGGGACAGTTGCAGGGGACGTCGATGGTGTTGAGGATTATACATTTGGGGGTTATGCAGCCCGGTGTGGGTTTGGGACAGCTTAGACTGGTTGTTGTGCGGGTGATCACTGGACATTGTTCGCCCCACTGGATTTGGGCGAGGATGGTTGTTGGGAGGAGACTGTTGTTGGATGTTAGGACTAAGAGGAGACATATTGGATGGAATGGGTATTTACCTTAGGAGGAGGAAATTTTGGAGAGCCATAATCGAAATCTTTATTCTTCTTTCTCTAATGAAGTGCTGTAGTGGAGAGATGAGAAAGTGATACTTGTATTCTAATTAAAATCCGGGCAAACCCATCATTTAATATCCAAGACACTCTAACAATCCTACATTCCAGCTCCGCGGATCTCACGCGGGGTACCCCAAATCCTTCGACATCATAGGTACGCCCCTAGAAATGGCTCACGAACGAAATGGAGTAAGTCTGACCAGAGATTTGGGAATACGAGTGATGACCGTCCAATCGAATCATCCAATTCGGCATATGAAGTATGACGAGAGACTGTTTGATCTCGTGATTTGTCGCTTGGTGTTCCCTTGGGTCTAGGCAGCCGTTTAATGGTTCATTGAGGAGAGTTTATGGCGAGATTTGGAGTTCATGCGTAGTATGGATGTCGTTGATGGGTGATTGTAATTGGAGGGAAAAGGGTTGAGAGTGTGAGTTTTGTTTTTGTGGCTGCGGCGATGATGGAGATGCTTGCGTGAGATGATGGTCGGTTTAACGAATCCTGTATGTTCGTTCGTTACATGATGGTGATATTTTACGAGATGACTGGCTTCCTGCGTATGTCTCTCGCTGCTTACTTATTCTTTTCAGGTGTGGTTCTCATACCTAGGGCTTCTCTTTGGATTTATGATGTCGGTCTTTGAAGGACGACCAATTTTGTGGCTCACCATGAATAAGAAGTTACAAGTTGATAGACAAAAGCCACCTGCTTAGGACTGAGTGTGTCTCTTCCAGACGCCAAAGTTGCAAAAAAATCAAAATCTAGTCAAGGTAGGGTAAAGGCGTATACTGTTACAACATCTTTCCCGTGAAACAAAGTCATTTAGTCAACCAGGCAATTTTTCTAAGCATTTGAGCCTTAAATTAAGAGTCATTATACCCAGCGTTTGGCATCTAGAACACGATTCCAAGGAATATATAGAATTTTATTCTATATGGAACGTTCTAGACCCCCTTTTAAAATAGAATAGAGTATTCTAGAGAAGAGGCCCCTAAAATTAAAGAATCCTAGAGGATACATTTATATTACTAACTAATAAGAAAGCATAATTTATAGGTCTAAGTAAGTATTATTTATAGTCGAAAATTACGTGATACTATATAAGTATATTACGTTATAGCCTAGGTATCTATGTTAGGTAGTAAGTGTGACGGTTCTGACCGTCACGTGCCATTCATATCACGTGGCTTCCTTAGCGAACCACATTGTATTTAGACTCAAGCTCTCTCGAGCTCTCCTCTTCTCCTCAGCTTAGAATCTTCGAATAGACAGTTCTACGATTCCATAACCTACACCTTGGACGCTCCTTGAGCAACACATCGTACGTGTCGTCACAGTAAGCTAAATTACTATAATACCCCCTTCCCCTCTCTATAACTACTACGTATAATTAGTGTACACTAAGGCTAGTTCTAGGTCTCCTATTAGTTAGTAAAAGGTATATAATTAGTTCTATTCTAGAATTCTAGAATTCTACTATAGAATATAGTATATTCCAGAGGGTCTTCTAAATAGAACGGAATATTCTAAAGGGGGGTCTGGAATAGAAAGGAATTCCAAATGCCGAAAGCTGATTATACCTATTTGTATCTGCTTCGAGTGAAACGTTTTTATTCTACAATTCTGGTGTCTAGATGAAATAAGATTGGTTTCGATAAGTTCCGGGAACTACCATCTTACACTTAAGTTAACGGTTTTGATAGATAATTAGATATTAAACTTAAATCTCTAGGAGGGTTTGATGGAGCAAAAATAACATCCTAACCTTGATCCGATGTTTAGTTTAATAATAGAATGGATCTACAAGCATGCCCACTTCTTATCACCTATGATAGCTGTCACGGTTCAAGGGTTCTTATGTAATATATATGAGCGAGTCCGCTCTGTATTTCTCAGTAAAGACAGTTTTTCTACGTTAACAGTTCTCTCTTCTGTGAATTTATGACTTGTTGCATTCATTGATTGCAAAGAAGACACCTAGTTATCTATCATTCTTACATGGAACGACGCTTTATAACCTGGAAACGGAACTTATATTTGATTTGAACGTGCATTCAAGTAACATGATAACCAAGTCGAAGTTTCAAAAACGTGTTCTTTGATAGCGGATTCTCAATGGGAATCATCTTCAAAACTAGACGAGATCGTTGAAAGCAAAGTGGTCATTACATTGTGGCTACCAAAGGCCGTTAGTATTCGGCTCCACCTGTGCAACTACGCTGGAGCTGATTCTGAAGTTGTGAGGAGGTATAAGTGTAAGCGAGTACCCTTTACGTTCTTATCCTTCTCTAGATAGGTTAGTGGAAGAAATCCAATAGATTAGATCGATAAAATGTGACGCTCAAAGCAGGTAAATTACCAAATCGCGGTCTATCCTAGTAATTCAATTTTGTAACTCGATATTAATTTAACGGTAATCGATAAAAATACCACCTAATTAATCTTTTGGCGACAAAAATGCCACCTATGTACCACGTTACTAGTTTACTAGTTAAAATGTTAGTAAAGTGATGTCTATATCATTGGTACTATAGTAGTTTCTGTTATGAAAATAGGAGTATTTTTATGGCGAAAAGGTAGTATTTTTATTAGTATAGAGGTTTTATTTCTTTATTAGATTTTATAAGTAAGATACCTAGAAAACAATAAATTATATAAATTAGCTAACTAGTTACTACTTCCTAATACTATGTAGGCCTGTTCTTGTCGATTTTAGTAGTAGTTAAGCCTAGTACCGGGAGGGTTTACGTGTCACGAATCACGTGTTAGCATGTGACGAGTGAAGACCAGGCGGCGTCCTGACAGGTTAAGCACTATCATTGGGCTCTTATAGCAAGTGAAGGGTGGGGCAGGCTTGCTGCTCCATCCAAGGATTTCATTGTATGTAGTCACGTGATGGATCTTGGGATCTTGAGGATCCCAGGATCCAGACAAGGGATCTGGGGGATCCTCAGATCCACATGGGAACGAAGGTTCTATATAAGATGGCATGTCTGCCATTAGATAGGAGCTTCGTGCTCAACTTAGGGTGGGGCAGGCTTGCTGCTCCATCCAAGGATTTCATTGTATGTAGTCACGTGATGGATCTTGGGATCTTGAGGATCCCAGGATCCAGACAAGGGATCTGGGGGATCCTCAGATCCACATGGGAACGAAGGTTCTATATAAGATGGCATGTCTGCCATTAGATAGGAGCTTCGTGCTCAACTTAGTTTACTTAGTTATCAATACCTTTTGACTTTGACGACTTTGTACAAAGTGACGAGTTTACCTCCGAGTAAACAACCCGGCGCATCTGATCTTCTTATCTGCATACCAACCTTCGGAACGATTACTTTTGTTAGATAGTTTGAGTTTCGTCACATTACGCCTAAATCCTAGTTGGTTTATAAGCCTTAATTACTTCCTTCTAAACAATATCTTCGATTCCTTACCCCCGAGCCTCAAATACGTCATCCTAGCCTTCTTATTATTAAGCCTTATCGACTAACTTGTAAATCTTCAACTTTGTAGCCTCTACTAGAGGGTGGGCGATAGTACGGGGTGTTCTCTTTACGTGGCATATTATATCCGCTTTAAGGCTGTTAATATACAAAGGACTATTTACCTGAGTAGAGGCTACTTGAAATCAAGGAATCACGCTAGCAAGTAAGCTAGCATTTCACTATATGTTAGACCACAAGGACATCTAGAAAGTGGATATAAATACTACTGTTCTACGACAAAAATACTACCATTTTCCGACAAATATGCCACTAGTTCTATGTTCATTAAATTTATATGTAAAACCTATATTAAAAAAATGAGTGGTATACAAGTGGTATTTTTGTCGTTTTTAATTAATTAGGTGGCATTTTGTCGTTTACCGTTAATTTAAATATTATCTTCGCCAGTATAAGATACGACTACACTAGTTTTGGTCTACCCATGCGCACACATAGAAACATCTTATTTCTGTCTATTCTATGAGTATCCTTCTTCCCAACTCCCTACTTCTTTACGCTCTCAACATTCACAGTTTGATCATCCACACTAGAAAAGGTTAGCCTCACTCCAACCCACTCGTCAATAGAGCAGCACACTTACAATCCAGAAAGGAAGCTTATCAGTAAACTCATAAGTAGCACATGCTTTACCACCGGACACTTGAATCGCACACTAATAAACCTTATTAGTCCTAGATCACTGATGAAAATTCGAAAGGGAACCACTCGAGGAAAAGATGTAGATAGGGGGAAATCTTATACTCCATCCCGCAATGTTAGTATACTGCCCTTTATTGTACACCAGATTGGCAGGATCACAATCCGGATACCCAGTCCGATATCCAATTGGGTGAGATAAAGTAGATATCCCTACTGATATCAAGGTAGCGAATGTTGCGATTGTGCAGAGAAACTGCATTTTGTTATTTTTGATATATTGGGAGTCTGAGCTTGATTATAAGAAACAAGTAATGAAAGGTACGTTTACACGAAAGGGCATACGGGTTCTTATAATTGATCTCAATTAACATGCCCGATGTTTCGGTCTAGAAATACCCATATTAGAAGGTAAAGCACGTATGTTAGGCGAGTCGTTAATAAGCGAGAAATTATATTATATTAAAACCTAGTCAAGGTTGGCACCAGGAATATTTCCGGGATACCGAAAAGAAGAATGTTTCCGACAACTAGCTAAAACAACAAAGCATACCTGATATAATGATCATGTCAATAATACCCTTATGATTTTTGAACCGCGTACATCCTTGTTGCGGGACTTGACAAAGCAATTCCAGTGCACAGGCTGGAAGTGCCGGCTCTCCCACCATTTCTTTTTGTATAGGAAGTGTTTTCGATAGGGCATAAGGGCCCCTTTACCTCAGCTTCGTGAATTATGTATTATTCGGTAGCGTACCCCAGAGTTAACAAAACTCTACTAGCCCCCCATAGTTTGATTGAGTTACAGTGGAGAATATACTGGAAACGAATAATGTTTAGCTGGTTAATCATTGCAGTTTTTATAGTATATTTCGAATGAAGCCATATCATTATCCCTTTATCGTAATATATGTGCGTTTGGACTTTTGGGTTTACGATTTCTTGATAACTAATATTTTCCGAAAACAAGTCTTTTCTAAGGCTTGTTTATATCAAAACAGTTAAGATAGTACGTACTAGTAGACGTCTAACTATATCCGAGTGGTTAGACCGGTCGAAATAATGCCTAGACGCTCTACGGAGGTTCGGTCCGACTTGCTCCGCACCACTTAGATGGGACTACAGTCCTGGTGGTCTACTATAACGTTCAAGTAAGCGTAACTACTAAGACCAAACTTGAATACGACAACCCTAAAAGTCTAAACCTACATTCTTCGTCCTAGGCATAATAATTTCAAGCTTTACGGAGGTTTTTACCTATACTCCACTACTGAAAAGCGGCTTTTAGAAAAGTTACAATTAATATGCCTAGGATGAAGGAAGTATGATGCAACGAGGGGTTTATGTGGTATTTGCTCTGCATTCGATGTACGAGTCAGACGATTCTGTCAATCCTGGCAAGTCAGTTGTGGCAGGGAATATAAAAGTTTAATTTCTACGGTACAGATACATTCCGAGCCAAAAGGAGCCTTTCCCTGCAAGGAAATAAGCTACTCTATACTAGCAAGCTGTACGGAGTAGCCGTAGGAACATAGAGAGGGTACCAACAGGAAACGTCACCAATTCACCTTCTCAAACATTATCATATCAAAAGTATTAGCTCAACAAAGAAAAGATCGGTAGCTACCTAAGATTAACTCTTCTGATTGTATTTCAATTAACGTGGTTTATCAGCGAGTCGATCATATCACCGAGTCGATCACTTTTCCTTGGCACTACCTCCTCAAACTTCAACACACGTTTTCTTCAACTATTTACCATGGAAATTCAAACTCAAGAAGCGCGAATTACTCTAGCTATCGAGGCTATTCGGTCGTCCAAAAAACTAAGCAAACGCTCTGCGGCAAAGATCTACAATGTACCATATACGACTCTTTCCGACAGAATGGCTGGCCGAACCTACCGCCCAGATTCTCAAGCCAATTGTCATAAGTTGACTGAGTTAGAAGAGGAAGTGATTATTCGGTATATACTGGATATGGATTCCAGAGGATTTGCGCCCCGGCTCGCTGGTGTAGAAGATATGGCTAATTTTATCCTTGAATCGCGGGGGGGAAGACGCGTCGGCAAGCTCTGGGCCCATCGATTCGTACAACGACAACCAGACCTTAAGACGCGTTTTAATCGCGTTTGCGACTTCCAGAGGGCCTTATGCGAAGATCCTGACGTGCTAGGCGCATAGTTCCGGCTAGTAGAGAATATGAGGGCGAAATATGGGGTTACAGACTCCGACTTCTACAACTTCGACGAGACAGGCTTTATGATGGGTGTTATTTGTCCTAGAATGGTTGTTACTCGTGCAGACCGACGTGGTAGAGGCAAGGCAGTTCAGCCAGGCAATCGGGAATGGGCTACAGCAATTGCCTGTATTAATGGGGAGGGCTGGAGTATTCCTCCATTCTTGGTAGTTCAGGGCAAGAACCACATCTCTCCAACTGGTATACCGACGGCGGCCTCCCACCTAACTGGGTTATTAAACCGACAAGCAATGGTTGGACAAATAATGAAACAGGCCTGGAATGGTTAAAGCACTTTGATAAACACACTACAGCTCGTGCAAAGGGTCTGTATCGAATACTAGTTTTGGATGGGCACGAGAGTCATGAATCGGCTGAGTTCCAAGACCACTGTACGAAACACAACATTATTACTCTTGGACTATCTCCTCATTCATCCCATCTAACCCAGCCACTTGATGTTGGGGGCTATAGTGTGTTAAAACGAGCGTATGGTCGGCAGATTGAGACGTTTATCAAGGCCTGTCATGAATCGGCTGAGTTCCAAGACTACTGTACGAAACACAACATTATTACTCTTGGACTATCTCCTCATTCATCCCATTTAACCCAGCCACTTGATGTTGGGGGCTATAGTGTGTTAAAACGAGCGTATGGTCGGCAGATTGAGACGTTTATCAAGGCCCATATCAACCATATTACAAAGGTTGAGTTCTTTCTAGCCTTTACAGCAGCATACAAGGAAACAATGACAGTCCTAAACTGTCAGTCTGGATTCCGCGGAGCTGGCCTAGTACCATTTAACCCGCAAGCAGTGCTTTCAAAGCTTGACGTAAGGTTACGGACTCCAACTCCCCCTCGGACGTGTAGTGCCAACTCCCTCCCCTGGGTGTCCCAGACCCCTTCCAACCCAACTGAAGCCCTTTCACAATCAACTCTTGTACGAAATCGTATAGCCTGTCATCAAGGAAGCTCGCCAACTCCACTTTTTCAAACAGTTGCTGCGTTAGCAAAGGGTACAGAGCGAATGGCACATGAGATGACCCTTTTGTCTGCTGAGGTCCGTACCCTTCGCGCTGCAAATGAAGCCCTAAGTAAACGCCGTAGGGCTAAAAAGACTCGTGTCCGCCAAGGAGGGGCACTTATAGTAGAGGATGTACAGGATATGTTAGCTCAGGAGGATGTAGATGAGCAAGTACGACGCGACATGCGTGAGGCGGGGGTTGGTTATAAGGAGGGGCAACCTTCTAGGCGGCGCTGTAGAACTTGTGGAAAAGCTGGTCATAACGCGCGAACTTGTCAAGAAGTTATAGATATATCTAGTTCGTCAGATATAGAGAGCGATAATTAATTTAATATATTGTGGTTGATTTATTTAGGTGTAAAGTTCTGTGCCAAGAAAAAGTGATCGACTCGCTGATATGATCGACTCGCTGATAAACCACGTTAAGTGAATTAATAAAATATTTATATATCAAAACTCTTAATTTATTAGTTATATAGACTCTTCCCTTACTTTATTAGTAGAAGGCTTATAGTACTAAGTTAGTTATATATTACAACTAATATAGGGGATCACGTATAATCATGTGACCTTCCTTGAATTATCTTGTAGATAAAACAGGAATTAGATAAGCCTAAAAAGCCAGGGGTTCTTTATAGACAAGGACGAGGATCTACTACTAAAAGAAGCGTTATATAAGTTAAGGATAATTACTTTGTACTTTAGTTACTATTTATAGTATGTATTAATTAATTAATACTCTCATTAACTTAACTAAATCGGGTAATCAAATTAAATCAACTAAAATTGTTAATTAAATCAAATTAAATCAAATCTAAATAATTCAGAGTATTAATTGATTAGTTAATTAATATGATCCTACGCCATGTACAGAGCAATAACCAGGTTTCCTACGAAGTATTATCCCCTCGCTTGGGAACGCCGTAAAATTACCTCCGCTTTTCTTTGTAAAATTATATCTAACCTCGAATTTTAAAGGTAAAAGACTCCTCTTCGCCACATGAAATGATTAAATGAACTTACTCTTATCTAATCATGTTTTATGCAAGTAAAAAACCACTACTACGTGTAAATACTTAAAATTAATAAACAGATTAATATGTGGCCGCGGAGAAAAACAGGCCTTTCATGTTTTTATTAATAAAACCCATCAACTTACTAACATATACTGACATACACCCTCCTTCTGATCATAGGCTCATATCACTGCAGTCACGAACATAAATACCCCAGATGAGCCTTGTAGTAATCACCAACTAATTTCTCGCCACTTATATTTCATCACAAAACAACAACCCCTCCAAATTCCAATCCAGCAACTGCGCAGAATTAGAAATAGAACTGCTAGTATTGTAGAGCGGCCTAAATTTCCCTGAAATTTCCAGCTCACGGGCACGGGCCGATCAAGTTGGTGTAAGTAACACGCTATGCAAGATGGCCTCAATCTTCGCTATTATCAACTCCGGTCAGGAGAATTTATAGGAACAACTAACCGGTGTTAACAAAGCAGAAAAGATAACAGCACGGGAAACTTTTACCAGCCAGAAGCCAGATATTCGTTTCGTTTTCTCCTCCTAGGGAAGTTGCAGGAAAACCCTTCTTACTCACACCCGCAGATTCACGCTGTGCGATTTCAAATGAACCAGTCAACCAAATCTTCAAGGTATAAAACAGAGTTCGGAATAATCTCAATAACATAATCGTGTTCTTACTCGTCTAGCTTCCATCTCGCTAGACTCGAGGAAAACCAACTTTCCATCCCACTAAGACCACCAGGGAGACTGGCTGACTACTGGCGTCTAGTCTCGCGCCATTAAACCCAAACTCTCAATCATACATATCTCTAACTCCACATGCCCCACAGATATCATAACAACTTCATTATCCCCTCATCTTATATACAACCCCAAGTCCACAATCCGTTATCCCCACGATTCCAGCCGTGGCTTTCCGTTCCCTTCAAAAACATATACCCACGACCCCATCCCAAGCCATCGAACCCGATTCGTAATCCAATCCCTCCCGGAAACGCCCAACCCAACCCAACCAAAACCAAAAACACCCATCCCACCTTACCCCCCTAACAAAAAACCAACTGCTCCGTCGTAGAAGACTGCTCATCCAACCTCATCTCAACAAGCTGCTTATTCGCATCCCGACAAGCCCCCTGCTGCTTCTCACAATTCGAGACGGTCAATTCATCGGTTCCTCCCTCGGCCTTCGCGCCTTGTTGTCCATTTGCTTTTGCTCCCCCACTACCCTGACTTGGTTTCGCTTCTTTATTCTGATTCTGATTTCCATTTCCATTCTGGTTCTGATTCGGCGGTTTCGCATTCGCCGCCTTGGAACAGAGATCATTCTGTATCGCGCAAGACCTCTGCACCGCGTCGCCGAGGGAGGTGAACGTCTCTCCATTGACCTGGAAGGAACGTTGGGGGTCGGAGGTGGCGGTTATGGCTTCGGGGAGGGGACCGCCTAGGGATTGGGTGAAGACCTGATTTCCTCATTAGCACCTCTACTCCTTATAACTAACCCTTCCTAAGGAGTATCGGATGGGAGGGATGGAGAGAAAAAACTACCTGGAAATTCGTCGGTGGAGCTCTGAGTTGCAAATTCGCGAATTCGGCATCCATCTCTGCGCGGAGATCGACATCGATATCTAGTTCTCCTCGACTTGCATGGGGAACGAGGACTACGCCTTTGGAATCTTGGATTTCGCCGGCGTGGGTTGCGTGGAGGAGAGTAGCTACGGCGCTGAAGAAGAAGAGTGTTCGGACCATGATGTTTGTGTCTTCTAGCTTTTGCTGATTTTGGGATTGGAGATCGAGATCGAGTGGAGGGGTTGAAGATGTTGAAAAGGTGTGGTGGGTCATAGAGTGTACCTATATTGCATATACCTAGACAGGTATGATAGATGAGGCGATGAAGGTTGAAAACTAATGTATTTCTTCAGATGAAAAAGAACAGAGAAGTACAGTAACCAACAAGTACTTCCGAAAGACCTACCCAACAGCTCCATCTCACCATAACAATCTCCCTCCCATCACCCTCTCCAAAAGTCGCCACGAATCACGAATCTGAAACCCCTCTCTAACATCAAAGCGCTCCAACACATCATTCTCACCTCACCATTGATTATTTCCACTTGCAATCAATCAATCCGAAAGGGGTTATCCTGAAAGTGATGTAATTCAGATATCCAGGGACGTTAGCTGGAGCGTTTGATAAGTAAACAACCTTAAATCCCATTGTTCGTCCTCGGGCTGCCCGTTGTGAAATTCCGGCCCATCGAAGAAGGGGGGGTCAAGCTGCCGAACCGTGGGGTAATGACCCCTTTTCTTACTTGGCGTTTCGGATTAATTGAGTGTCACGTGTTTTGCCTCTTTGCTACCTTGATAGCTAGGTAATTTGTTTTATTTACTTACGGAGTTAAAAGACTCGTATCAAAGATACCATTCAATCTTTTCCAAAATCATCATCCTAATACACCATGTCTTCACTTATTCACCAACAAATTCTACATTGCTTTTTTTAAGAAGCACTTCTGTAGAAGAGACCGCCTCTGTACTAAACATCTCATTAGACGCTCCGTAGGTACGCTACAGTACTCGTACATAAGAGATGAGACACTTCATAAGTTCATAAAACAAGCATATAATAACACCCCAACTATCACCTGTACACCAGGCGTTCGAGGGCTCGACTAGTTCCTGCACATCACGAAATTAAACTTATATTAGTATCAAACCAGTATCAAAATGACAAACACGAACGAACCTATGCGAATTGAACGTGATTTCAATCCAAAACAAAATCACATTAACTTCTCTATTCCATATTCTTTTTCCTTATAATAAGCTCTCGAGGATTAGAGAATTTAGAAGTATCAAAATAGAATTCCTTATCACTGAGAATCTGGTTGTGAGGAAACAGTAATGTGAAGAAAAGAAATTATTTGACAAATATTACAATAGGTATAAGTTAGTAGTAATTGCATCTAGCTAAAGAGGCGAGTTCATCAAAAACAAAAAAAACAAACGAAAAAAAAAGTCTTGTATAAAAACGCCCAAATGCTATTCTGTTCAGATCCTCTCACTGAGATCAAGAGATCTGACCGTCCAAAAAAATACGATATCGCATTCGCTGCGTACGCCTATCCATGCATGCATGATCGACCTTCTTTCTTTTCTTTACATCATACCAGAGACCATCCTGCTCCATATATGCAAATTCCATCATCTCACACAGGCCAGCTCGCGCTATATCACCGTCTTTATTTACGCCCCATTCTCCCCTTCCTCAATATCGTTTGCGGTATAGATTAAAAATTCGAAGAGGCATTCACATTCCCCCTCGCAGGATTATGATAATTCTCCAGGGTACTCTGGAAGGGATTTGCCGCCGGCGCACCAGTCCCAGCCATCTCACTCGTTCCATTCCCTGATCCAGAACGGAATCCCATCAATCCATCACTATCATCGTTACCCTTCTTGCGTCCCCAAATTCTCCATGCTACGATGAAGAGACCACCGAAGATGATTGCTCCTCCAACACCAACGACCACTCCGATGATGATGTTTCGAGTCTTGACGGGCATCGTATTGTCATTGTCGTCATCGTTGTTGTTGGCGAGGGCCGCGTTATTGGCTGCTGCGGCGCTGGTGGCGGCTGCGTAGGCGGAAGTGTCGGTTGAGGAGGATAGGGAGGTCATTACGCTGCCGCTGATGGTTTGGACGATGGTTTGAATGTTTACGGAGGGTGTGATGGTTGCTGTATCGATGGAGGTGAGAGTGACTCTTGAGGAGACGCTGGAGCCATTGGCAGCGGTTGTGGAAGGTGAGGAGGGAACGTCGGTGCTGCTTGGTGTTTCTGAGTCGGAAGTATCTGTGTTCACTGGGGGTTGTGTAGGAGCGCCGTTGGGTGCTGTTGTCGTTTGAGATGGTCCCGTTGGAGGTTCAGGGGCTCTGGAGGTCGCTGGTGGTGGGTTTGTTCGTTCGGTTGTTGGAGCCGCAGGTGCGGATGGAGGAGGTCGAGAGGTCGCTGCTGGTGGTCGTGATGTCGCTGGAGGATTGGTCGTGGGAGCGGTTTCTTCAGGTTGTGATCCTCCTGTCCCACCTGATGAAGCTACTTGTCTAATGGCGAACAGGTTTGCGCCGTCGAGAAAAGTTGCCTGTGTCTGGATGCTGAGGAGGGCGAGGACCGACAGCAGTCGGAGGTGTGATCGTGAGACCATCGTGAGATGGAGAGACTTGGAATTGACGTGAGTGTGTTGAGGTCAATGTGGATGTCGACGGAGAAGATGAAAGAGGATGAGATGTGCGAGGAGATGTCGTGTCGCTGGGCGTCTTGTCGATGGGATTGGTAATAGCGGGTCCTTGGACTTTTTTCGGGCTGTGTCGGGTTGCGAAATTGGCTGAGATGAGAAGGAGATGGTGAGGAAGGTGCGTGATATGGAAAAGGAGAAGAAGAAACGAAGTGAATGGGTTGGGGTTGGGGGGTATTATTATTTTAGTAAAGTTAGGGCAAGGGCTGAGTCAAACGAAGGAAGACAGTGGGATGAAAATGTAAAGCGAGTATGAGGTGAGGGTGAAGGTGAAGGTGAGTTTGTTGTACTGAAGAAGGAGAAGGAGAGGTGATGCTACCGTAGCGAACCCTACGAGTGCTCCTACGGGCTTAGGGTTCCCTAAGCCTCCAGCCTACCAGGGGTTGTGAGAGACATTGGCGTACAACATCACCCGACCAATCCGGGTTGCCGGCCATTAAAAAAAAATTGCGTGCCAACAAAAATAGCAACGGCACTAAACTCAATTAAGCCATTGTTCGCCCAACTGTCAGGTGTCAAGTCCCCCACAGCGTTCGGGAGGCGGCGCTACAGGGGCGTCCCAAGAGACTTATGGAGTACTTCGTAAGTGGAAAGTGGCTGCGTCGGCTCGTATTTTTCTTGGTTGCGCTTGCTGACTCGGGACCACGTCCAGTCGATACTTATTACATTCGCAGCTCCCGTGAAGAATTGACTCACCAGTCCACTGTGAATACCTTCATTCATTCATGCTTTGCGACCATTCCATTGAACCTATGCAGTACCGGTAGGAATGGCTGTGTTGCACCTCAAGCATCGCGGCATCGGAAAATTGGAGATGGTGTCATGGTGGAGAGTGACGAAGTCCAAGGCATAAACACAAACATGGCCAGCGATGCCAATTTGGACGCGCAGCGCACTTCAGATGGTTCGCTTCCGAGCCTGCGGAGAAACACTTGGTACGGTGGCGGCTTGGTGTGTATGCGAATACCCTGGGTATACAGTACCATTATACCTCGAACATCATGGAAGGGTCGCAACGGCTGGACGAAGTTGACTAATGTGATGAGCTAAGTAAGGTTACCCGAAAAAATGAAGCCATCACCAAACGTTGCGATCTTCAAGTCACAACACCAAAAACAGGCAATCCATCCGTCAATGGTGCGGCCATCTGTACCTCTTGTACTTCTCCCCAGTGCTCTCGCACAGTCACCAAATCAAGGTTCTGTCCCCAACTCAGAATCTTGGATATCTTGAGCGAGGGGCAATAATGACGTCGGACACCAAAGGGAATTCCACCGCAACGAGGGGGCCATTCCACGTCGCATAATTCACAAACTTCACATGAACTGATAACTGATCCCTTTCTGTGCAACCCATCTTGGTGTTTACTCGTATCCTCTGGAAATAAGCTTATATGTTCCGCGTCTGTTTTTACCTGAAATCAGGATGCGCGTGTGTTTCAGACGCCTCTCCATCGCTTCGAGTTCATGCGCTGAGGGCACGTGTTTGTGCGAAGACGAACCAAGGGCTAGGTATGCGTGTTAGGGAGTAGAACACAGGGAGGGGTTCTAAATAAACGATAGGCGAGGACTGTGTTGTTTGATTTTTGTGAAAGAGTCGTTCTTACCTAGTACTACAACTATTATGGACAACCATTATGCGGTTGGGGGCTCTGACGGTTGATATACTCACGGCTTGTTTACAAGTTTCGAAACGGCAGTTGAAATGTCACGATTCAGGAGTTGCATCTTGATGTGGCATCTTTGCTTGCGCCGCCGCGCGCGGGATACGAGAAGTCTGAGGAGCCCCATCGAGATTGCCCTCTGGAAAGAATGAGACGACTAATCATGCCCTGATGTCTCTCCTCCACATTTCGAAGTTGTCTGTCAACTTGTCTCTAAAAGCGTCCAGATATCTGATCCAGTCGAGGCAGGAAGTCCAGCCAGTTCTCAAAAGCCCAGCCATAACTTCTGGCACCTCCAATGTTGAGTTCTGGGGCTCCGTTACGTGCTCGTAGGCTTTGACAGTATTTACTACCGTAATATTATCAAAGCTAGTCTCGCGACTTAATTCTGATATTTTGTCGAAGTTGCTTTCATACTTTGATGGCCTGCAGGACTTCTACAGTCAACAAATTCCCCTTTTCTTTCGGGTCGTTAGAATCACATGTTTTAGCGCTGTTCTGTGACATCTCATTTCCAGTTCGCCATTATTGTGGTTGGTGACGCTTCCTCTTACTTTAAATAGCCTAAAATCTAACACCTGCATCTCATTTTCCGCTACACTTCGATGTATTTCACATAAAACAAGAAAAACTCAACCCACATATGTCAATATGGCACGGTAAGGTCAAAGTGGATTAAAGTTACATAAACTTTACATGAAATTCAATTATTCCATTATCACGGGCAAGCGCTCGAGGAGAGACAACATTGACAAACCCCTCTTCATTTTCCTATCCATACCTACCACATCACAAACCCGCTCACAAATTCACCATCATCTACTTACCATTCGCATTTACAACAGGAGACTCACCGAAACTCCGTCGCATCTCGCAATACTCCTCTCATTCCGGCACTAGAACCCCTTTGCTACGGAACGGAAAATAAAATAGCCTTAATATACACACGAGGCAAAAGACAGTGACCCCAAGCGAAGATCGTCATCCTCCCATGCATTCCCCCGCATTTCCAAAAGTCTCTCGGCAATCTATCTTCCATGTCCCGCATGCGGTTAATATCGATATCTACCACCACCTTTTCCTTCCTTTTCTTTACCTTTGGCTCCGTGGTGGACGGGTGCATACTAGGTATGTCACCACGGACATGATGTCTAGCACCAAAAATCACCATGGGAATAGTGTTTCCGTCGTATTCTAAGCTCCCTTGTGGTATATCAAAAAAGGTTAATTGGATAGCCTCGGTCTTTGACCCTTTTCCCCTGAGGGAGAGACCTGGTAAGGAATCCGAGTGGTGGATGTTATGCTGTGATGATGGTGAGGAGATTCTTTTTCTTTTCTGGTATTTTTTACTGGTTTGAGTTTGATTTAGACGGAATTGCGGGTTCCTAATCTGAGCTCGTTGTAGCAGAGGGGCAATCTTCTATCAGATGATTCTTCGATGGTAGGGAGGTAAAAGGAAGCTCTTTCCCAATGTCTTTTAATTTGTATCTCTATCTCTACTTCTTTTTCGTTTTCGTTCCCTGTGTGAGTAATAGCCATGCGTTCCACCACCATCTTTCGTCTTTTAGCTGCTCTCCTTCCTCTTGTATCACCTCAAGGTGTCTCGGCTGCTGTAGCATGTACCAATAAGTTCACCGCCGTCACAGCTGCAAACGCCATCAAGGCCCTGCACCCAGGTTGGAATCTAGGAAATACACTGGATGCCGTTCCCGACGAGGGATCATGGAACAATGCTCCTGCGACTCCAGCGCTACTTGATCAAATCAAAGCGAGAGGGTTCAAGAGTATCAGAATCCCAGGTAAGCCTCTAATCCCTTCAACTCTCCTATCCAATATGAAAAGGAGAAATGGAAAGATACTCATGGAAGCGAAGTTACTTGGGCATACCACTTCGACACTACATCCCCTTCTTGGACTGTCAATCCGACATTCATGACCCGCGTCGAAACCGTCGTCGACCAAGCTCTTGCCGCCGGCTTCAGCGTAGTGTTGAACGTCCACCACGATTCCTGGGTATGGGCCGACCAAACAGTCGCTGGTGCAAACACTACCATGATCCTCGAGAAGTTCACCTCACTTTGGAGTCAAATCGGCACGAAATTCGCGTGTAAATCGTCATCCCTTATCTTCGAAGCGATCAATGAGCCCACGGGAAGCACACAGGAACACGGCGATCTCTTGAACAAGATGAACGCGAATTTCCTCGATGTCATCAATAAAGCTGGTGGTTTCAATCCTCAGAGAGTTGTTTCACTCAGTGGGCTTGGTCAGGATATTTTAAAGACGACGCAGTTTTTCAAGAGACCTACTACATACCCAAATCAGCCCTGGGCCATCCAATTCCACTACTACTCTCCCTACGACTTCATCTTCTCCGCATGGGGAAAGACCATCTGGGGATCTGACGCTGATAAAGCCGCGCTTGAAGCGGACTTTGACATGTTGCACGGAAACTTCTCTGGGGTACCCGCCTTCATTGGGGAATGGGACGCTTCGGTTTCCAGTACCGAGGTCGCAGCGAGATGGAAGTATAATGATTTCTTCATCAAGACGACGAATAAGTATGGGTACAGTGCGATTATCTGGGATAATGGAGATGATCAGTATAACCGCACGGCCGCGTTCTGGAAGGATCCTGTGGGCATTGATGTCCTGTTTAATGCGGTTGCTGGAAAGGGGAATGCGCTTGCAGATTCGACTACTGATATCAACGCCGCGAGCCAGAACACTAGCGCGTATCTTTGGCACAAGGTTGGAGCTGCCGTGACCGATGTTGAGGTCCCATATATCTTGAATGGAAACAAATTGTCCGGGGTCAAGGATAGCAAAGGAAAAACGCTTTCCTCTTCTGACTACACGATGAGTTCAGCTGGTGTCCTCAAATTGTCAAAGAGCTACTTATCGACACTCTACTCTACGACCACCAAGCCAGGCGCTATTGCAACTCTTACCCTCTCCTTCTCTGCGAGCCCCAATTTGACGCTCCAAGTCTACCAATTCGCTACACCCATCCTACCCTCCTCCTCCTCAACATACTCGTTGAACTCTCTAGACGCAGCGGTGGACTTACATATCCCAATCACATACCAAGGTCTTCCAAGGGTTGCGGCTATCAGAGCACTCAGGGAGGATGGTTCGATACTGGTTGAGTAAGTCCCCCCCCTCCCCCTCTTTCATCCCCCCCCAAACAAAACTGACATCCGAAAAGTGACTGGACGCAATATCTCGGTCCCCTACAAAAGGGCCGCATGACTTACGGCGATTGGGGCTTCGACGATAAGGGACTGACGGTTTGGGCAGCGGGCGTGGCAAAACTTAAGGCGAGTGGCGGACAGGGTGTTAGGGTGCTGGTGGAATTTTGGCCTAGGTGGGAGGGAAATAGTGTGGAGGTGCGGTTTACTGTTTAGTTATAGATAGAGGGGGAGTGATGTGGTGATGTTCTTGGATATGGGTATATAATGCGCGTAAGTGGGATGAGATGCGCGAAGGAGAAAAGTACGGAGATTAAGGTTGACTTGACTTTCTTTGTAAATATGATTACAGGGGACAAATTGGTTTGGAGATTGTATATATTTATCCTTCTTTCTTCTTAGGGTTAGGGTTATCAATGAATTAGTGTGAACACGTGAAGAGTATGGTTGAAAAACTGATAAGAAGCAAGAATCCCCTAAGCTATGATGCGAATCGATAGACAACTTTCGCCTTGAAGGCTCTTAGGGTTAGGGTTAGGGTTAGGGTTAGGGTTAGGGTTAGGGTTAGGGTTAGGGTTAGGGTTAGGGTTAGGGTTAGGGTTTAGGGTTAGGGTTAGGGTTAGGGTTAGGGTTAGGGTTAGGGTTAGGGTTAGGGTTAGGGTTAGGGTTAGGGTTAGGGTTAGG